CCCTGTGCCCTGTGCCCTGTGCTGGATCTGTGCTGCCATCCCGGGATCGGGGCCCTGTGCAGGGTCGGGCATTAGCCAGCGCTCGAGGGAGCACGGGGAATTCTCGCTCGTTGCTCGCTGGAAGGGCCGGCAGTGATGCTGCAGGCGGGGGTTTGGGGGCGGGAGGAGGAATTTGTTTAGAAGCTCTCTCCCTGTAAAGCTCCCATTCCTGGTCGGATGCTCCCGGCCGCGGGAGGAGCAGCGCCCAGGCGCCGCCGCCTGCCTTCAGCGCCGTTCCCATGGCGCTTGGCTGTCACACACATATYGCAGGCATTCCCTGCCCACAGCAGGATTAGAGCCTTCTGGGAGAGGAATGAGAGGATGCGGGAAACGGGGATAGGGAAGGAGCAGGGAAAAGGAACGGAGGGCATGAAGGGGTAGGGATGAATCCTGCTGCCCGCTCCATCGCAGTGGCAGGGGCCTTGTAGGATTTGTGTCAGGGAGACGCTGAGGCCATCGCCTTTCCCCCCAGTGCAGGTGGGATGCCCGGCAGCAGAGGCCCTTCCTGAARGCTGGAGGCACTGGTGCGTGCACATGAAAATTCCTGTCCTGGTACTGCTGTGCCTCCCAAAGCCACCCATGGCTTGAGGATGCAGCTTTTCCTCTGGTGATTCCAAGTGTGTGTTCCTTTCCCCTGCAGACCCTGACAGCCAGCTGTATGATATGGGATATACGCCCGAGGAGGAAGCCCCGGCCTGTCCCGATGAGTTTGATGACTTCGTCACGTTTGAGGCAAGTATGAACTCTCTTCATTCCCATAAATGTGGGCTGCATGTGGAGTGGGATTTGGGCATGGAGGAGAGAGGTGTTTGCTGTGACAGGGCTCAAAGATGCTTAACAAATCCTTCAGTCTCTGGGTGATGGGCCCAAAGAATGCACCAAGCATTTGGTGCAGTTGAAGTTACAATTGGTGTTGATGAAACTGCAAGAGCAGAACACAATGCCCTGGGGAGAAGAGAGACCCTTTTTTGGTGAGACACTGGTGACATGGGAAGGGCCTGCTGCTCTCGGGTTTGTCTTCCTGCTGGAGTTTCTGAGCCTGGAGAAGCTGAGCTTGCTTTGGAGGTGTACCAGCCACGAGCCTACCTGAGTGGAGAAGTGGGATGTTGGCATTTGGTGCTGTTTGGCCAGCAAAAGGCAAAGCAGGGGATAAAAATCTCCATTTTCTCCCTGTTCTTGGGTTTGATCAAGGGTGTTTCTCTGGTGTGGGTTGTTTTCCTTTAGTTAAAGCCTCCATCCCTTGGTTCCCTCTTACATTCCTTACAGTGGGAACATGTGACAGCAGTGATTCTGCCATTCTCAGCTGGAAAGGAGCAGCCTGTTGTCTTTTGGGCTTGGCTTGGTAGACTTCCCCCATTCCTGCTCCTGCTTTCCAGCCTGGAGCGGGAGGTGCTGCAGGTGCCTTGGGAGCAAAGAGATGGCTGGGTCCCTGTCCCACCTGGGGCTCGGATCCCTTCCCTCTGCTTTTCCTTTTTCAAACTTCCTTCTTCAGGATTTTGACACATGTGTCTGGTGGCCTGGATGTTTTTGGGCTTGTCCTGTGCAGAAGCAGGAGTTGGGCTCTGATCCTTGTGCATTCCTTCCCACTCAGGATATTTGTGATTCTGTGTGATTTTTATCATGCAAATTGTTTCTAGCAAGGACACTCCCAACCGCCTTTGTATTTGCATGCAAATACTATATTAATAGATTTAGATTTAGATTTAGATTTAGATTTAGATTTAGATTTAGATTTAGATTTAGATTTAGATTTAGATTTAGATTTAGATTTAGATTTAGATTTAGATTTAGATTTAGATTTAGATTTAGATTTAGATTTAGATTTAGATTTAGATTTAGATTTAGATTTAGATTTATTTATAGTGTGGTTTTGCTTTGCATAGCCTGTAATACATCCTTCTGGCTTTGTGATTTCTTGATAAAAGGTTCATGATAAATGGGGTGTTGGCAGCTGGTCACAGAATCATGGAATGGTTTGGGTTGAAGGGACCTTGAAACTCATCCAGTGCCACCCCCTGCCTTGGGCAGGGACACCTTCCACTGTCCCAGGTTGCTTCAAGCCCCGTCCAACCTGGCCTTGGGCACTTCCAGAGATCCAGGGGCAGCCACAGCTTCTCTGGGCACTATTGACTATTGGATTATTTTTCCTTTTTGAAAGGTAGTGACAAGCCCCAGGAACAGCTGGGGAGAAGCGGAACAGCAAGGCAGGCAGGGAGATGAATTTCCATATTTTTTTTTCTGTGGTGCAAGGTCATAAATGTGCATTTTTACGCTGGACTGAGCAGTGCAGAGGCTGTGACAGGCAAAGGCTTTCAATTTCTGCTCCTCAGACYGGTGTCAAGGGACCGTCTTGCCTGAGATTCCGAGCGGAGATGTTTTCCAAGGGCTAATTTAACAGAGATGAGCTCTGYCAGCGCTGGGAGCTATTCTGGGCAGCAATACCAACAAGGCAGGTGTGTGCCCCTCTGGGATGAAATACTTCTGCTGCTGGGCCAGCCTTTCCTTGAAACGACAAGGTGACCCAAAGGAAAAAGGTGATGAGTCCTGAAATCTCCTCTTCCAAAAGATCTCAGTGGATTTTTATACGGAATTCAGTGTAGAGGACAGCTCCACGTTTAACATGCCAGGCAAGAATTATCCTTGTTGTCTTGGATACATGATTCGAAATAATTCCCAGCCTGCCAGGATTTCGTAGAGGTTCAGCAAATGAGAACATGCTTGAGAAATACCACTCAGCCTTGGGAGTGTAAAAATAAACCGGAGTCTTGGGGCGAGGGGGTTTTTGTTCTCTTCTGGCTGAGCCGTGAGCTCCCAACGTGCTTTTCATCCCACATGTCCTGGAGTGCTGTGCCTTGGAAAGCTGGGRCTGGCTCAGGGAGGAGAAGCCATACTATAGAGCATCCTGCTGGGAGCAGCAAAGGCATGTTCCTCAGGGAACACCGGGAAAAGAGCTGCAGAGGGCTCCGGCAGGCCCTTCTCCCTTAGGTGGAACAGAATAAACAGCTTTTCCCAAATATCCATTCCATCTTGCCTGGATACTGCAGAGGAGATGAGGGGGAAAAAGCCCTCTTCAAAGTGAAGACATCACCTTTCCTCAGAACAGACGTGTCACTACACCAGGCAGCAGTCTGGGCTCTGGGATGTCCCATGTCAGCCCTGGGAAGGTGCTGCACAGGGGCACACCCTAAACACACACCCTAAACACACCCCAAAACACCCTGGGACACCTCACACCCTGGGTGAGCCCCTCCTGCTGTGGCAGGGCTGTGGGGTGAAGTGGCACAGCTGGGTTCTCTCCTCTGGGTCCCATCAGAGCTGAAGGAATCACTGCATTTGTAGAGGTGCTGGGAGCAGTTGTGGTCACTGGAGGGGAGCACCGGCTGAGCTCCCTCTCAAACAGCCCAAAATCCCAGTGGTCAGAGCTGGGCTCTGAAAGGGAGCTTGTCCCCCAAATGTTGGCTCAAACAAGGGTGAACAAGCACTTCAAGCAGTCCCCAGGAAAATGTCTGCTCCTTGTGGATGAGGTTTTTGTGCTGGTGACTCAGCCCCTCTCCTGATGGCTGCCATTAGGGACAGCTCGGAGTCCATGGAAAACCCTGAGAGCCCCAAACTGGGCACTGTCAGCCAGGATTTGCTCTGCAGACAGAGCCACCGGCACCTGCCTCCTCCAGTGAAAAGCTTTTGAAGGGGCCAAGGTGCCAACTTGGGACTCTGTAATGTTGGATACTCCCCCAGTTCAGCCACTGGTGTGGCTCTTGCTGTACCATGGAGCTTCTGGCTCCTGCTGCACCATTCCAGGGGTGTCCAGCAGGCAGGACAGGCTGGTGAGGTGCTTCCCAAGGGGATTTCTGCTCCCAGGGCCCTGCTGAGACAGCRGCTCCTGCTCCAAGTGGCTTCTTGTGCCTCCAGCTGGGCTTTCAGGGGGCTCATCCCAATCCCTCCGGCTCTGCTGTCACACATCAAGAGAAACCTGATCCCTGTGTACCTGCTGGGAGCWGGGAGAGCATCACCTCCGGCCCAAGGTGGAAGTGTGCTGGTTGCTGGGTGGGAAACCACCAGAAACTAACGTCAGCCCTTCTGCTTGGTCAAAGCCACATGAGGGGAACTCGGAGCCGTTTCGTGCAGACACCTGAGCCCTGTTTTCCCCCAGGCTGGCACAGCTTGGCTGCTGACTGCCTGCAAGGTGGGAGCGCTCCTCACCTCCCCTGCAAGCTCCTGTGGAACTCATGACTCAGTGCTGAAGCACAGGCCTCGATGCAGTGCTCTGAGGGACATGGACATGAATTTGGAGTCAGCTTTCTTGGGATCRTGGAATCCWTAAGGTTRRAAAAGCCCTYCAAGYTCAACCCTYAGCCCAGCACCACAGGGATACCTGCTGTGCCTTACCCTAGGGTGAGGGCTCTGCCCCTCTGCCCAGCTCTTGGGGCAGCTGAGCCAACTTGGGCAATGCAGGGAAGCAAGGATGACTCTCCAAAAAGGAAAACAAGGAGTGAAAATGCTGGAATTAGGCTGGGATGGACRTGGCTGGAGCAGAGGCAGAGCCAGCGCTCTGTAAAGACTGCGTGGGAGCACCATAAATACCCCAGATGGGGATTTTTAGCTGTGGGTGCTCACGTTTTTGGCCGGCAAGGTCAGAGGGAGGCTCTGGCTGAGCTTTGCAGGCCGGGGCAGCCGTCAATGCTGCGGCTGCGGTGCCTTGTGCGGGGCTGTTGCCATCTGCTGGGCGRCCGCCGTGGCTCCGCTTGCAGGCACCGGGAAAACGCATCCTGCACAGCCACCAGAGGGGAATCCGGCTTTCCCTGGAAGCCTTCACCCGCCCWGCCACATCCCCTCGAGCTGTTTGTCCAGCAGGGAGTTGGTACAGCACCGGGAGAGTGGATYTGGGCAGGAAAGTGGGAGTAGAGGAGGTCCCAAATTGTGTTTATTCGGGAATAGGGACTACTCCTGGCTCTCCCAGCCTGCCTGGCCGCAGGTGCAGCTGGAAGAGCTCCAGCTCAGAATATTCTGTGACATTCTGTGCAACAGTGAGCAGCAGCTTGAAAGCCACCAAATGAACCCTGTCAAACTTTAACCCTGTTAAAGCCGGCAAGTCTCCACATTGAGCAATTAAACTTAATGCTTCTTTGAGGACAAAAAGCAGAGCGAGGTCACTGAAATCCACCTTGCTGGGTTTGTCCAGCTGCTCCTGCAGAGAGGACAGGTACTTGCAGGGCCCCAGCTGTGTGTTGTAACMCAGCAGCTGTCCTGGGAGCATGAGGGACAGCGTGGGGAGCAGAGCTCAGCTGTACCGGAGCTGTTCCTAGAGGCATCGCAGTCTCTGTTCATGCCTTGTGTTCTGCAAGGAGCCCACGTGGGGTGCGTGGAGGAGTCTGCTGCAGGCTCATTGTGGCCCCTCCTTGTAGCCTTGTGCACCTTCTGAGCCCTCCTTTCCTGGTATGGAATTTCCAGGAGGATATTTGCAGAGAGCACAGAGCATTTGGGAGGGCTCTGCTTTGCAATCCTCAGCATTTGAGGTGAGATTTTTCATCCTCTGTCTCTGCACACCGCTGTAACCATGGGGTGCATGCCTGGAAGAGGCCAGCCAGGCTGAAAAGGGCTTGAGCTTTGTAACCCCCTGTGAGCTGTCCAAGGGCTCAAAGCACCAGGACAGACCCGGGTTCAGCTGTTCCCTGGCTGTACTGATGCAGCTGTGAAGGTCTGGTGGGAATGGGGACATGCAGGTGAGAGCTTGG